GCCCATGGCAGGGGGGTGGGAACTAGGTGATCTTTAAGGTCTTTTTCAACCCAAACCATTCTGTCATTCTATAATTATGTTCTGAGTGCCTTTTTGTCATATAGTTGTTTTTTTCCCTTTATCATCATTTTAACAGATTGAAATTGTGTGTGTTCATGGTAGTTTCATTCATACTATGTTTAGTTCTAGCTCAAGCCTGTGTGAATCCTTAGAATTTCCAGAAAGAACTATCCATTACCATTTAATTTTTACTCCTACTTTCCTTTTCTTTTAAAATAGGAGACAAAAATGCTCTCAGGAATATTCTTCTTTACCACTTGACACAAGGAGTTTTCATTGGAAGTGGCTTTGAGCCTGGTGTGACAAACATTCTCAAAACCATCCAAGGAGGGAAACTCTACTTGAAAACAGTTAAGTGTTGAAGAAGAATTCTCCCTGATACAGACAGCCTTGTAACAGGGATTTGGCATTCCATGTCTATCCACATTACAGAATGGGATGCATTTCTCTGAATGTTACATTAGGGTTTGGGGTTGTTTTTTCGTGCCCCTATAACTTATGTTCTCTTTTCATCTTTTACCAGGTGAATGATACTCTTCTCGTTAATGAACTGAAATCAAGAGAATCTGATCTCATGGCAACCAATGGTGTCATTCATGTTATTGATAAACTCCTATATCCAGCAGGCGAGTATTAGTTCATGGAATTTATACACACCTTTCTGAATCTCTTTACATTTTATGTAGGTGCAATAACTTAAAAAAGTTAAGTCCCTTAAAGAGACAATTCCTATGTAGAATAAGAAACAGAAAATTTACCTCACTACTCAACCTTGCTTGAAACCATGGCAATTTTGAAATTCTGTGATAGTCAAGTATATGGAAGACAAGATGTCATAGGCTATCTTTTCCACTGATATGGAAGAATGTATATGTGTGAGTGTTTGAGAGTGATTGCATCCCCTGATCACTGTAAATGAAAGTAAAATGAACACAGATGTATGTTTCCTCTTACATGCCTATTTCTTTTGTCAGATCTGCCTGTTGGAAATGATCAGTTGCTCACAATCCTGAAGAAGTTGATTAAGTACATTCAAATTAAGGTACTCTTTAATGATCCCTTTGTCTTTTTGGCGGGATCTTTGAAACCTTGTACTTTATAGTTCATAAGTGATTCTCCCATCCCTCTGTTTCTTCAGCAGACAACACATTCAATAGCTCCCAGTTACCCAAGTATAATCATGGACGATACACTGCACTCAGTAATTAGAATTTATGTTTTTCAACACCTAAAAATTGTAGAATATTTGCATTTGGATAACTCCAGTGTGAACTGGCCCAAATCTGCTCTTTGGTTCAGGTATATTGTATCACTCCAGCAAAATAGATCACTTCTAAATCCTTGAGGCAATCCCTCTCTGAAAGAAATATTGAGTGGCTAAATTGCGGTGTCATTAAACCCACCAGCCTCAATAGCCTGTGGAGAAAAATAGGCATCCTTTTATATCTCAGCTATCATCTTGAGATTACGTTCTCCTTCAACAATGAATGAGAGGACCTAAGCAAATAGCATAGCCTAACTTTTAGATCAATGAAGCAGTGAATTCTACCCACACTCCTTAGGAAACTAGAAGGCAAGTGCTCTTTCTTTTAAATTTTAAGATTACTTTTCTGTATTTATAGTTTGTTCGTGGCAGTGCCTTCAAAGAGATTCCACTGACGTTTTACAGTAAGTTCATTTTAAGTACTTCCAGATGGGTTTGAGATTGCTTTTTAAATGTTGCCAATTCCAATCTTGAATTGTAGATCTTTTTTTCAATCAAAAAGAAAACAATTTCTGGGAAAGTAAGATGTGCCAATGAAGCACAGGAAGAGAAGGACTCAAAAGTAGAATGTTTCTGGCTGTTGTGCTACTGTGTATTTTTTTCCCTTTCCAGATGTGTGACAGGAAAGTAACCCTGAAGCAAGCTGTTCAAACTCTTTGGGGTAGGCAAGATACACATGGAAAAGATTGGTTTTCAGTTTTTAGCCAAGGTCCAGTGCTTGGTGCACAGCAGAGTTGTACTGTCTCTCTCTCCAAGGCGTAGTATTGTACTGTACTGACTCTCCAAGTACTACTGACCAAGATCTGCACTGAGATACTTTCTTTTTCATAAATGCTTCCAGAGGGACAGGGTGTACCTGTTCCACCTATTTCCCATATGTACAAAACTGAGGCTTGTATGGGAGGCAGTTGTTCTTACCATTTTCTTTTAGGGAGTAAATGTAGAAAAGGAACCTTTTTTGTTCTCTTGCAGCCTTTCTCAGGATTTGCATTTAGTTTCTGCATATAAAGGAGAACCTGTTGAAGCAAACCGTTAGAAGACAAAGATCCTGCTAAAGCTTTGGCTTGTGAGGGAATATGAGTTTAGGCAGATCATTACATTTTTATAGGATTCTACTTAAATTTCTCAGTCGAAATTGAGACCATCACATTAGGCTTTTGAAAATTGAGACTGGACATGCTGAAGTTAAAAGACTCTTGGAACAACAAATAAAATAATCTGTCTTAATGGCAAGTTGAACATGAGTCAACAGCATGCCCTGGCAGCCAAAAGGACCAACCGAGCCCTGGGGTGCATCAAGCACAGCATCACTAGCCAGTCGAGGGAGGGGATTGTCCCACTCTACACTGCACTGGTGCGGCCCCACCTCTAGTTCTGTGTGCAGTTTTGGGTGCCTCAATAGAAGAAGGACATCAAACTGTTAGAGTGTGTCCGAGAGGAGGGTGACCAAGATGGTGAAAGGTCTTGAGGGCAAGGTTTAGGAGGAGTGGCTGAGGTCACTTGGTTTGTTCAGCTTGGAGAAGAGAAGGCCGAGGGGTGACCTCATCGCTGAGGGGTGACCTCATGGCAGCCTACAGCTTCCTCATGGCGGGCAGCCGAGGGAGAGGTGCTGATCTCCTCTCTGGTGACCGGCAATAGGACACGAGGGAATGGAATGAGGCTGCGTCAGGGGAAGTTCAGACTGGACATTAGGAGAAGGTTCTTCACCAAGAAGGGTGGTCGGTCACTGGAACAGGCTCCCCAGGGAAGTGGCCACGGCACCAAGTCTGTTAGAGTTCAGGAGTGTCTGGACGATGCTCCTAGTCATATGGTTTAGTTTTAGGTAGTCCTGCAAGGATCAGGGAGTTGGGCTCAATGGTCCTTACGGGTCCCTTCCAACTTGAGATATTCTATGATTCTATCTCCCATGGCCAGTGAGACTAGCACAAGAAGCACTGCCCATAAACTGAAGCAAGGGAGGTCAACGTCAGACATTGAGAAAGTTGTAACTGTTGATATATCTGGATGCGGGAATGGGAAGGCTGGGACCCCTACTAGTGAAGGCTCCTCTACCTGTGAATGGATAAGAGTCAAATAATGATCTATCAAAGTTGCTCAATGAATACTTGAGTCTGTGTTAGGTGTAGAAGGACAACTCGATCTCCCAAGGGCACCACAGTCATGGTCTCTGTGACATTCTGTTGAGTGTAAGAATAGCTCTGAATGTCGGAGGGTTTCCTCTGTTTACGAGGTCAGCTCCCTAATGAAAAGGACAAGATTAGAATTTAGGATATGTCAGGGAATTGTGCAAATCTTTATGCAGGGAATTGTATGAGCCATTATTATTATTATTATGTACCTTTCATTATCATGGGTTTCATGACCAGTGGGTTTCAGAAGGCACAAAGAAAGGCAAACAGCGTGCCAGCAGACTCAGTCTGCAGGTGACTTCTATACACCACCATGTAGTAACTAGATCCAAGATCCATACTCTAGATCCTTTTGAGTTACTTTCCATCCATTAATATCTGTGTTTTTATCCACATCTTTGTGACCAGACCAAATATAACTGATCGTTACCATAAAGAAACTGTAAGAATGGAATGTGCTTTATATTCCATTTTCTATACTTTCAGAAATTAACATAATTGAAAGCAACGTCCAGCCCATCATCAGAAAGGAAGGTAAATGATGCCCTTAGTATATATATTTCTGTATATGTTCATATACATATACAAAATATATATTGTATATATTTCTTTAACAGGATGCATTTTGTACATAACAACTCAAGGAAGTTCAGGACTTTGCTGGAAAAGCAAAGATACAAATATTGCGATTAGAACTGGCTGAAATATTTTGTATAAAAAGATTTCCCACTGTTGTTTTCCCTAAATAGATTTTCTCCTTTTTCTATGGGCATTTAAAAAATATTTTTTAAACAATCTTTTTTCAAACCATTTCTTTTAAGTGTCCCAAATATTACTATACTTTCAATTAAAAAAAATCCTTTTTTTAAAATTAAAAGTTATTTTTAAAAATGAAGTAGATTTGTTTCTTACACTTTGAAGAAAAAAAAATCACTTCATTTTTCTATAGTTTTCAATCAGTTCTAAATATCAATATCTGTCAGATGCCTGGAAAGGACGGTTAACCAAACTTTCTTTTTCAATTTCTCGAGGCAAAAGCATGACTTAAAGATTAGTGGTGGGACTGAAGAAAACAAAAAGTGGGGCTGGGACTGTCAAAATCACTTGTGATTCATAACTTAACTAAAAAACCTAGACCAGGTACACTGCTAATGAGCTGCACTTTCCCATTGAAATAAAAATACTCAGGGAGAATCTGGTTGAGCTCAACTGAGGAGAAAGGCAGTTAAAAATGTTTTGCAAAAATTTTATCCAGACTGATTAATCATTGTTTCTGGGAGGGCTTCCTCCCAGCAGGAGTGACATGAGCTTCCTCATTCAGCAGCTTGTCTGTGCTTCATCCCACTTAGGATTAGACACCATCTAACATATATGCTGATATTTGTTGCCTAGTCTCCATTATTAAATCAGATCCACAGAGCAATATAAATAAATAATATAAATATAATAAAATGAATAATGTAAATATAATGCAATAAATAATACAAATAGGTGATTCCATATGGTAATTCATCCAAGATATTTTAGAAATCTTCCTGTGATGAAGGTGAATCACTCTGAAAGTACCTGTTCTTCTGTGTTAAACCCAGAGACAGGGCATATCGTTTAGGTGATTTACACAATGTGTAGAAGTTGAAAGTTAACTGAAACAAAACCCCTGTAAAAAAAACAACCAAAAAAAAAACCAAAAAAGAAATGTCTGGGCATTTCTATAGTTAAATGTACAACTAAGTGTTATTCATCAGAGAGAGAAAAAATACAAGTTAGTGAGTATTGAGGAGTTACTCATTTCCATTGCCAGTATAGTGTCTCTGCTTTGGGACACGCTCCAGGGAGCGATCTCTGGCCAGTACAGCCTTTCTGCTGATGATTCAGAAATAGACCCAATAAAGCCAACTCTGGCCCTTCTGAGCTTGCTAATAGGAACAGTAGTGAGCAGCAGCTCCCATCAGAGCCACATAAGCCCACAACTGTCTGTAGAAAAAAGCTGCAAAGTTGCATGTTAATTTTTGCAACGTATGTCAGGAAGTTCTAGCAGATCATGATGGAAAGGAGATTTCAGTAAAAAAAAAAACAAACCACCACCATCCCCACATTTAGAGGGTGATGTCTGCCCTTTCCGTCTCAATGTTTTCTACTTGAGTTGTGCTTCCATTGTCCATCCATATGCAAGTTAAAGGGATCTAAAGAGTTAAATCTGATTGAAACCCAAATTTTAATGGATTAAATGTTCAGAGGATTGGTCCTAGACTAGGCACTATAGCAAACTATGGCTTTACCTTTGTTTTGTGTATATCTGCTATATCAGTCACATGGGAATGTACAGTAATTTAAAAATCTAAAAATAAATAAAAGGATTTATAAACATTCATAAATACACATTCTCATGAATATTCATCACTTTTATCAATGTATATTGGTATTTAATGGGTTCTCAACATGCAAAAATGCCTCTAAATTTAAAACAGGAGCAAGTGAATGAATCTTGTAAGATTGCTTCTTTAAAATATTTATGAATGTTTTTCAGCCAGACTTGTTAGAAAATAAAAGAAAAAGCAATTGGTTGTTCAGCTATTTAAAACTCAGAGTAGATGAATAGAACTCTATAATAACTGGGCATCATTATGATCCTATTGTATCATCTCATCTGCAGCAAATAAATGAATTCTTTTGCTCTAAAGTCTAACTTATACAATCATATTCTGTTGCAAAAGCAAACAAAAATATATGCTTGGATTTGTAACTATTGAAGGACACTAGTTAGCCCGAATTGTACTGTTTTCAACAATTAACACCAGGAACACATTTCAAAAAGCTATTATTAAAATCCTGATCAGTAATTAAAAAAAAAAAAAAAATCTGTGCAGTATTGACTTCTACATATATTCATATAAAGAAAAATTTTTAAGGGATTTTTAAGGCCAGTGAGACAGACGGACTGTGTTAAGTTTCTAACTCTGAATAGGGAATAAGGGAAGTGTGTGTTACAGCAACTTCTGAAGTATAAGATGTGACTGTAACACTTGTTACAGAAGAACCATGTTATTCCTGTTAATTAACTGCATCAATGGTATGTTCCTAATTTATTTAGTATCTGCTGCTCCAGCATGTCAGTCAGAGGTACATTTGTACCAGTGTGGTCTGTAGGGATTGCACAAGATTAAGAGGCTTGTTTTGGCCACTGAAGTCAAGATGACCTCTCCCATGCAGCTCAAAGAATGATAGCCATTAATGCTACAAATATCCTTACAGCCATTCCAGTTGATTTCTTGAAGTTTATTAATTTTATTTTTTTTTTCTAAGCTGGGTGACCACTGGCCAAGTCTTGGTAGCTTAAAAAAAAAAAAAAAAAAAAAAAAAAAAAAAAAAAAAAAAAAAAGCCCAAAACAATGTAAGGGTATTCTGATTAAAAGACCTAGTTTCCCCTTGGATATCTATACAGTTAGCAGGAAATAACATTACAAACATTCCTTTCTCTAGTTCTTTTCTAAGTTTTCACAGAATAGTTTGCATGCTGATCACTGGTGGAACAATAGCTATAAGATTTCAGCAACGCCTCAGAGTAGGCTTCTTACCAGTATATGTATAGGCGAAGACTTCCTTTCAGCTGCTGAGGATCTGCTTTTTTCTTGGAGACTTGTCAACAAATGTTACAATATCAGATACACAGAAGTAAAAAAAAAAAAAAAAAATTGTAAGTAGTGTGCAATAGGATCTAAATTTGAGATAGGATGGGAAAAAGTGCAAGACTGTACAGCATTGCTGCAAATGCCTTCTCAGATTTTCAAAATTCTCCATTATAGTCATCTAGGTTATATAGGGTAGGAGGGATAATGCTATCTTCATCTCAGCCCTGTGGAATACCATAAATATTTTTATGACTATTTGTAACATGTTGTTTTTTTCCTATGTCACAGACCCATCTATCACACAGCTCACTAAGTTAATTGAAGGGGAACCTGAGTTCAAAATAGTCAGGGAAGGGGAGACAATAACTAAAGTGATTCATGGAGGTTGGTATGCTTTCAGCAACTCAATTTGTATTAGTTAAAATTTGAAACATTCACTATTCCCAGCCAGTTTCTACTTTATGTAGGTGATTCATGTTATATGTGAGACAACTGTTCTGTTTTTAACAAGACCTTCTGAAAGTGTTGTAATTTCATTGCATCATTTCATTCCCAATTCTCATGCATTTCAAAAAATTGGCATTTTTGCCTACCCGTGTCCCATAGCTACAGTCAAGACAGCGTTAGAAATGCTCTGCATGCTGACGTAACATGTCTCAGTTAAGAATTATTTGCTGGTTGTTGTCCTGAAGTAAAAAATGCACTATGTAATTCTGTGATAGAAAGGCAATTTTATCACAGAGAGATAAATTTTGCATTCATCTTTGCTAGGGGCATTGGGAAGTTCACCTCTAGGGTGCTTTTAAAGGAAAAACAGCATGTAACCATCCTAAATTTGGAGGAAGCTTCAGGTTCCTGGTCTCTGAACATTTTTTTATTTTTCGTAAAATATGCTATGGTATTTCCTTGGGTGCTTCAGTGAGTTTCAGCATCTCAGAAACAGCACTTGTAACACTGTTCATCACTTGATTAATGTCTTCAATTTAAAAATCCTTGTAGAACCAATTATTAAAACATACACCAAAATAATTGATGGGCGACCTGTGGAAGTGACAGAGAAAAAAGTAACAGAAGAAAGAATTATTCAAGGTAAACTATGCTGAGCTATTCATACTTAATAGAGTTCACCATTACATACAAAAGTAACACATCTTAAGTTCGGTCCTAATGCCTAAACTGCATTCCCTGGAGAGATTAATTTTTCCCTAATGTTTCCCACTGCCTATGTATGGCTCAAATTCTGGCCATGTGTGCAACACACACGTATACAGAAATGGCAACAATATTTTAACAGCATGCAAAACAATGAAAACTTGTCTTTTTTTTTTTTTTTTAATGTATTTGCAAAGTGTCTGCTTTTGCAAGCTTCTTGCTGCCATTTCAGGATGAGACTGATTATATTGCATTTTTTTTAGTCTGGCTTGCTTTAGAAGGAAGTTTGTTGGTTTATTTGGTTGGGTTTGTGTGGGGTTTTTTTGGTGAACTTTTGTGTTTTGTATCTCCAGGTAGGTTTCATTTGACCAAAGGTAGACTTTCAGTGTGTAGATACCTACTTTTGCTTGTTATCCCAGGCTCCCTTGACAGTCATTTCAGAAAAAGAATTTCTCTGTAAGGAGGGGCCTCAATTGATCTGACATGCACAAGTTAGACATTTGTATTCAGCTAATACAAGATAAAATTAATGTGCATCTGTGTCCCTTGATTTTTCTCCCGCAGTAACTTTCAAACACTTTGGCCAATTTTAATTATATTTTACCTACTACAGAGATATTTCTTTAAGAATCCTAGAAACTTCACAGAAATTGGAAAGTGGAATGAGGCGTATTTAAGCAGCCACAAATTCCGTGCTAACACATTTTGATCCCCTTGGTTAAATATCACTTTGAATGCTGCCATTAAAATTCTCTCTGCCAGAGCAGTTGTAAGGGAAAGACAGTGTTATAGGAACACATTGACTTAGCAGAAAGTCTTAATATTCAACTTATTTAGAAAATGTTAAAATTTAGTTCAAGAAGTCATTCAAGCAAGAGGGAAATAAAGAAGGAGGCTTAAGTTATTCTCATACAACTATTGACTACAATGAAGAAAACTGAATGAAAAACATTGGTGGTTTCTGAATAAACTTGGGACTATTTTTTCAAAAGAGAATTTATGGGGGAGAAAATAAAATACCATTTTCTTATTTCTCAAATTCAAGTTTCATTAATATCCCACATAAACTGGTCAATATAATGTAAAATGCCAGCCTTTCAGACCTGCTATTTCCTACTCTTCTCTCCATAGTGGAAACTGATAAAGAATCTCAAATATTAAGCTCTCAAATGATTCATAGCAGTAATAAAACCAATGTCTATTTACAACAGTGGACCCAGACTCTTTTTGCACTCAGGAAATACCTGATCTATGACCTCAAAGTGTTTAAAACTGTGTCTTACTTTAAGAATGTAATCAGATATTTACTATAAGTATTTTAAATTTGTCAAAGTACTTTTCTGAATAGCTCTAAATACTATTTGTAACCATCTTTCAGTTTAATTTGGGACACAGTGAAAGATAAAATGATCATAAAAGCAAATTAAAGCATGTCAACCATGGAACCATCCTAAGCGTTAAATAGGAAAAAATAACTTAAAAGGGAATCCTGTTAGATCTGATTGAAGTCACTGTCTTACACACATCTTTTTTCCAGGTCCTGAAATAAAATATACCAGAATTACTGCAGGTGGTTCAGACAATGAAGAAAAGTTAAAGAAATTGCTTGAAGACGGTTAGTATCCTTGTTTTCTTTCCTTCCTTGAAAAAAAAAAAAAAAATTACTTAAGTAATTACTGAATGGATACTCCATGTTTTCAGCAAAGGTGCTCATACTGCAAAATTATACCTGGAGATTAAACCTCAGAACCTGAGAAATGTCCAAATCTAACGTTCTGGTTTAAGTCTCTGATCGTCACATTTCAGTCAGCTCGAGAGTTGAGGCTGCCTGGGTCTAATATATAGTATGGTATGTTCATCACAAAACATGGTGTTTTCAGTGTTTACATGGAATTTAATATCACAAGAGATGAATTTTCTAATTTAGCAAAATGCTATGACAGGATTAATTCAGTAATATGCTCTTACAGGATTGTCAAATGTTTTCTGTAAATCAACTTTTTGCCATAACCTGTATCCTATCAGAGGTTACCAAGGTGACCAAATTTATTGAAGGTGATGGTCATTTGCTTGAAGATGAAGAAATCAAAAGACTTCTGCAGGGAGGTAATTCAGTGTATTATAACTAACCTTTTTGCAATAGGTTATGATAACTGAAACCCCTCTCAGATATGTTGATCTCAACATTTTAAAGACTGACCTAGCAGAAGTGTAATTTTAATGGGAGAAAAAACAGAATGCTGTATATGAAGTGCCAGATGTCTGTGAAATGCAAATAAGCACCAAAGTTTGATTAATCAATTCTTTTATGATATTTATCATGAAAAAAAAATTATTTGGTTTTTTTCAGTCTTTAAAAAGTTATCTAATTAAAACTCAGGGGAGCAATGAAGATTTATTCCACTAGCAGTGAACTCTTTTTCATCAAATTTAAATCTGTGAAAAACACTTATGAAGTGGAAAATATTGTAATAGGCCAAATTCATCTTACTTATCAGTTCTGCAGAAATGAATATTCATTGCCCTCAAGTTAATAATTAAAGGCATGTTTAGCATCCTTCTTTTAGTGCTTACAGGTGATGGATATCAAGGCATTAACTTTAATTCTCTTCAAATATAGCATTCCAAGGAATGGTTTTCTTTCCTTCTTGCTCTCTCAATTCTAACAGTTTTGGCAATATATAACCAGTAGCTGTAGAAAACTGGTAAAAGAACTTGTGCTTATGAAATTAATCTTCATCTATGAATTTGGAATGTTCTCTGCTTAATGTAGATTAGAAAAACTGTCTATAATAGCAATGGGGAATAAAAAAAGAATTCAAGTGTGGTTTTAGTAAATGTTAGTGTAAATCTGAGTCAGAAGCTCAAAAATACATATGGATGTTTCTTTTGGCATAAATTAACTGAAGCCACATCAGTTTATGTTCACTTTTTAGTAAATTACAAAATTGAATAACAGTGAAGTAGCTCACAGCCAGCTGTGTGTTCACTGAACTAAATCTTGTAGCCCTTCAAAAGCACTATTCTGTGGATGTGACTTAAATTTCAGTAAAGTAAAAAATTTAGTGATGTCTGAATGGCTGAACAGCTTTTCACCAAACAAAGCAATGCTAGTTGATGATACGGCTAGTCTTAGAGAAAAGCCAAGATATGGCTATGAATACTGTTGACTGTATTTCTTTCTTCTGTTTTAAACATCTAAATCTTAGTTTTACACATCTAAGCTAGGATTTGCCTGTAATCATTGGAGAGAAATAGGAACTTCCAGAGGGTTTTTCATCTTCGATGTCCCAGCTATGTGAAAAGAGCTGCTCTCTGGAGATGTCTATTTCAATGTTGAACATTTAAAAGGAAAGTTAAAAATGAAAGGAATTATAGCTCGAAAATCCCACCATATACGGGACTATGTTCTATTGGTGTCAACCAGGCAATAAAGAGCAGGATCAAACTTTATCTGTAGAACTGTTCAAAATTCTGGTGACAGGTCTGATGCCAGAATCTAACTACAATTGTAATTGTAATCATTTTCAGTTACAGAGGTATACAATTAAATAGACATAATCTGTAAGGATACAACTTACAGTGATCCTATAGGTGTATGGAAAAGAGATAAATAGTTTTCTCGTAGTAAATTTGAAAAACACAATATTGTCTCTTGAATTCTTGCTATTTTTCCTTGCTATTATATGTTAGTTTGCATAAGCACCCTGCTTTACAGAATGGACCAAATAGGCAGTTTTGTCTGTTTTAATTTGATTTTTCTCTATCTTTTCCATGATTTATCCAGTCAGCTACCCTTGGCTGCCATAATAATACCTTACCATACATTTAGCCAACAGAAGCAGATACACATGCTGCTTTATGGCTGTTGGTGATAATGGTGATAATGCTTTATGGCCCTATTGTCTACATCAAATTACTTCTGTTTTACTGAAAATTTCCTAAGCATTTAAACCCGAGTCCAGCCACAAATGTATGTATTACCACTGCCTAAAGTAAAAGAATTATTTCATATGGGCTGTAATCTACTCGTAGAACATCCAGCACCGCTTACTAGAATTGGCAGTCTTTGCTGAAACAGAACTTCAAGCCAAGATTGCAATGAATGACTCTCAGCCCTGGAGAAGGAATCACCTGTGGCAGGGCTGAGAAAATCAGCAGGACCTTATGGCATGAATAACATGGTGGCCTGCATACACCTACACCCCCAAAATGACATTGTTTCCACTGAAGGCTCCTTGCATATGGAAAAATGCTATGCCAGATTTAACTCATTTGTTTTTGATGCTTATCATAGCTGGAACTGAGTACACCAAGGTTACTAAAGTAATTGAGGGAGAGCCACAGATTATCGAGAGAGAAATCAAGAAAGTCCATCTGGAAGGTTAGTTTGTCTAAAAATCCAGTATCACTAAGACTGCTTTGTCTGAAGTGATCATTCCAGGTGGGGTTTTATAGTATCTATTCACAAAAATTACTTGAGTCTGAAGCCAGTATTTTAGCGAGAAGAGTTTTATAATTATTTTGGAAAAGAATTCTTTCACTGACGTTGCAGAGAAAAATGTTGAGGCTTATCTTGTGGCTAAAAGTAACTAAAAGATTTGGCAAGCATAGTAGACAAGAGGAAATGTCTAACTGCAAAGCTTAGGTAAAACATTTGAAGGAACACGCAGCATAAGAATTGCCTTTTCTCTAAGCAGCACATCCAGAAGAAGACCACGTGAGTTGTTTTTACCTTGAGTTATTTGTTGTCAGTGTTACTGTGATCTGTTGATGTGAAAGGTGGAGGGTGGAGGGAATATAACCTCTGGGGTTGAAAAAATGTCTCATAGGGTCTTGGAATTTCTCTATCCTTACCCTGTTGTTAAATGAGGGAAGCTCTTGGGTTTGAAAAAGCTGAATGGTGTCGAGGTGCAAAATAAATCTCTTAAAGGAGCCCAATACAACTTAGCCTGGCTTTATACCAGGAATTTGTTCTTCAAGTTTAACAATCTTTTTTTTTAATGATCTTCATTCAAATTTAAGAAGTAGCTTGTTCAAGGTTTCTTTTGTATTTGTATGTATGTTCTTTTCCAATTCTAATTCTAACAATGCAGAATAAGTTATTGTCAGCCTTTGAACTAAATTCATAGGAAAAAATATTATGGTTTGTAGAGAATGAAGTTAAATAAATATGTTTCTACTTCTTAAATTTTGAAGCCTATGCTAAATACTGAAGGTACACCATAGTGTTCGTATAACTTCAATGTTCAGTAGTACAAGGCATGCAGGGAAGTCGACTACTAAAAATGACAGACAGGTGTGATCTTCAACCATAAGGTTTACCTGAAAGCATGATTGTATGGACACCATATAAGTGTGGAAAGCATACTTTGGATGGACCCTGTTCTGTCCTTGTCAGGGCAGCACAGAGCTTGAAATTTTCAATCACATTGGTGCAGATACCCAGTGTTTAGCCTCAGCTGTAATGAGGTGAAGCCTGTGTCTCAGGGCTATGCATTTATATACCCTGTACCTCAGGATGAAAAGACAACTGACTGCAGCTGGTTAAGTGAAGAAGCAAGTACTTTATGGTTGTAAAGAAGGAAAAACACCGCAGTAACCTTTCTGTGACAGTAACAGAAGAATTATCTCTTATGCTTGTGAAATATTTTTCCTCCTAATGAGGACACATCTGGTTTAAAAATGTCTCAAGATTGGATGAGAAGGAGGAAGAAGTGTCCATAGCTTCGCTGAGTCAGTATTTTGGAAAACAGATGTATCTGCTCATGAGGGTGGTACCTATTCAATAGCCCTCGCTCTACTTGACCCATTAAAACAGAAGTCTCTGAACTCTAAATGTGGAATCATACTGTGGACTCACAATGCAATTACACATCAAGCCCCAAACACAGCTAGAAATGTGGCCAACATCTTGTGATGGTTGAGTTTCAGGCATATCACTTATAAATAATTCCTAAAGTAATGTCTATACAGCAGACCTGGACATCCTCTGCCAAAAGCTGAGACTGAGTCCTGGGCTGTACATTAACCTGAGCTGGTACGTCCCTGACAGTCTCAGATGGTGTTTGTTGAATGAAGAGCATGGGCAAAACGTCCTGGCACCTGCCTACATCATGTAACCATCTGTAGGAGATCAGTGTGAATAATGGATTAATGCATACTGTTAAAATGTAAAAATACTTTTGAAATGTTGGTAAGACTTGATAGATGACTGCATATGACAGAAATATGTGAATTGTATTATGAACATTCATGTTTCAGGTGATCAAGTCAACACGCTAATGGGGCAAAATTCTTAGCTTACTGAAAACCTTAAACTTCACAAATCAGCAATGGGTTTCCAACATTTCTGATGAGTTTTAATTCAAAGGTTCTTACAAATAACTTCTGACTACAACATTTCTATTTTCTAGAAGCACCTGTACGGAAAGAACAACCAACCAGGAGGACACAAGGTAAAAGCAAAACACACATTTAAACATTTTAACGTGCATCAAATACTATTCTCAGTTCCATTAAAAGTTGGGAGGGAAAAAAATACCCTTAAGAAATCAGAGTTTGAAAAGAAAGAGTTGCATTTATGCTTTTAAAAAAACAAATTTTAACAAAGCTTGGTATTGTTAATTTCTGGGTTTCTAGATTTTTTTCTTATATATATTTCTATGTGAGAACAACTTAGATTGTGTGCTTTGGTCAAACAGTATTTCAGATGAGAATAAAGCTGTCAAAGTGAGCTCTGACTCTGGAGTCTAGCACTGTGAGATGCCCCACCACGGGATTTGTAATTCACTGATTTGACATTATTTTGATCGATTAAGAAGCTGAGATCATTGTAATTTCCTAGCTGTCAGCACAAGAGTGAAAGATTCAGCATCAGGCTTCATCTTTCCTCTTCACATGTCTGTTTCACAAGTAAATACAGTATATAGTGTAACTGTATTATATATAATTATAGGTAATAATTATGGTTCTTTTTCTGTTTTTCCCAGGGGGAACAGCAAGAAGGAGGACAAGACTAGCTTATCCCTAAAAGCTTTCCAAGCTAGAATCCACAGAATTACAAATTAACAGCATGGTCTTTGAGAGGAAAAGAAACTTTTTTTAAAAACGAGAATGTTAGAAAATGACATTGTTTTGATAACATAATGTAAACTGAACCATGAATCCACAAAAAGGTGTGACGCTGCAGATATTCACTGCTAGCAGAGTGCTCACTAGGAGGAGTAGCCCAGTGGGGGTGCTTTAACTGCTCTGAGTAGTAAGCACTATGCAGGGTGGGATCCTGGAACTGCTGAAGGCCATCGACTTCTGTAGAACCAGGATTCCTTCTTGTGCTGGCTAGTAAGTGTTTGCAGAATTGGATTCAAGAAGAGCAGGGAACAATACAGAGTGTATTTTTTTATTATTATTATTTCCACTAAGTAAGAAATATAAATGAAATTAGATCATTTCTAGAAAAAAATCACTTCAGGTGACTTTTAGAGTAATCTAAGGAAATATGAGATGTTAACATAGCACTTTTGGTTCAGTAATATTGTATGCTTTTTATAAGTCAAAATTCATGAAGTGTTTAATGTCATAATGACACCGGTAATATTGCCTTTTCTAAACAAACAAATACGCCTTATATTAAATGTATCCTTTTTTTGTTCTGCATTGCATATCCAAGTGCCTTCTAGTAACATGGCTAATGGAAGCTCTTAAAAAGAAAAAAAGCAAACATTATGAGCTTCTTGAAATGCATTTGAGATCATGTTGCCTTCTTTATTGATAAGAAAAATCATTCCCATTAAAGGAATCCTGTACTAATACATATACTGAGATTCTTAAGTGTTTTCCCACTTTTCTCTAAATGTGTCTTTTGATTATTAAAGTGGATTATAAAAGGGATAAATAAAAATGCATGCAAACAGTTAACTCAGCATGGAAAAAGGTGCTACAAAAATAAGGCTAGGTCTGAAAGCTTTTATATCAAAACATGCTTTGCTAATGTCTGGTACTAATGTGGAGTTGTCTGTAAATTATGTCAATTTTATAACTCTAGTTTTGTATTCATAAAAGTTGTTTGCCTTTATCAACAAAAGTTGGAAAACAATTAGTCATGGAGTAGAAAAAAATGTGTTCAAAGTGCCTTAATTCTGCAGACAAAAATTTCAGAGGAGTTATCTAATGTGCTTTTATACTTCTGTTTTGAAACAAATACTCAATAAAGAATTTGGCTGAACTGTGCTTGCTTTCATTTGTAAATTTTTTTTTAATAGTAAAACAAATTCTAGATATTCTTAAGCTTTTAGTGTAGTTAGTTAAAAAATAGGCTTTCACAGAAGCAAACCGATGCTTCCCTTTCTCACTTAGCACATGCTAATACACTTAAACTGTATCACTCTCCTTAAATACAATTAAAAACCTTCCCTAATTCCATAATCACATACCACGAGCACTACTCCCTGAATGGTAACGCTATCTGAGCATGGGATTGATACATCTTGTAGCCTTACTGGGCTGTCGAACTCTCTCAAAAAGGCGACCTCAGAATCTGTCATAGTGCTTTGGTGGAAGGACAGCTTTTAACCCTGGTGAGAGCTAGACAGCTTTTAGGGGAGAATGAGAGCTCTTGGGACTGCCTAGAGGGTGAACTGAAGCTGTCACCTCTCCTTGGGGCCTTTGACTGTCATAAAGTCATTAACTTTAATCTGCTTTCTTCACTGCTGTGCCACCGTGAACTGTCAGTCAAGTAAGATTTTAAAGGACAGTAATTATGATAGGGGAGGAATGTGTCTGTGCTCTCCTCTCCCAGAAAAGAGCAGCAGATGGGGAAGAAAATGGAACGGAACTGACAGATAAAGTATGTGCAGGAACAGGGGAGGAAGCAGAAGGAGGCAAGAAAATGGATTACAACCTATCCTGTGGTGGGGCATTTTTAACTTTTCAAGTGGGAATAAATTTGTGACATATTAATTTTGGTGTATTTTCAACTTTGATAACATTTTAAAGCCTCTGGTAGTCACTAAAATACCTTTCTGTCCTTCACCATCAATATAATCCAGGTGAAATACAACAATATATGAAGGGCACACCTCCATGAACCCTTGTTATCCTGATACACTCCATCCCTCTGAGTCCTTCCTTGGCCACAAAAGGTGTCTGCCCGGCTGCACTGTACCCTGACATCTCTCTTGATGGAGGGGCTTTTTTCTGTTTATCTGAACAAGAACCCTTCCACAACCCAATGTAGAAAGAAAATCAGCATGTTTTTTTAATTGCTTTTCATATAGTTAGTCATTTCTTTCTCAACACAGGCAGTCTTTTACCAAAGAGCAGATTTGGAGAACAATTGTGACTATGACTCCTCCTGCCCCGTTATCTATTTCCCCTCACCTTATAGTAATTTAAACTAATGTAATGTGATTAAACAAGGGATTAGCATACTACCAAGTCAGAATACTTACTAATAATGGAGAACTCGCTCTTTTCTTTGGTGTTTCCTTATGACGTCTTGGGGATTTATAAGCAGGAATTCCTAGTTGAGTTGGTGATGGAATTCTCAAAGCACTTAATTTGCTTCCTTTGGTATCCTGTATGAAAAACTGATGCCAGAGAATTTGTAACTAGCACTGCTCTCAAATCTGTCAGTTTTGCCAGCAGTAGGTGCACATAAGTGATCTATAAGATCACTAAATATTCATGTTAGCTTTGAAAATAATGACATTTTAGAGTTACACATTTAATGTTACCATGTGATTTCTGGAAACTAAGATTTGTAGCTACATGTTTTCTTTGCGAGGTAGGAGGGTGAATATTCATAAATATTCATAATTTGAGAAGTACTGAACAGAGGTGACCATGGTGATTGTTTTTCATATATTGGATAAGACGAAAAAAGTGGAAGCTACAAGGCAGAGACATTGCAGGTGCATGACAAAACTGCATGGGAATTAACAATACTTCACATTTAAATATCACAATATACTTAATTCTACATCTTTATTCTTCATTATCAAGGCCTTCATTGTCTGTATTTGTCAGACTCATAACAGTAGTGCGCTCATCTCCATTCATTTAACCTATGCCATATAAGCACTAACACAGCAGGAGAGGAGGAATAGAGGGCATTGATGCCCATGAGAGAAACCCAATCATACTGTTCCAGGAGGTAAATCTGTACCGCAGAGCTATGATAATACAGGGTTTGTCCATAGGCAACTAGAACAGAGTGGCTTCAAACCGTGACAGTCCACACAACGGATAGTAGCAACCCCCGGGGCAATGGAGAAGGGCCTCAAAATTGTCACAGCAATAAACTCTTTTTCAATGGCACTGAAATAATTCAACCACAAAACTGCTAAGTGGAAAGGAAGCCCATTGTTTTTTTCAGTATAACAGCAATCTATTTTTGACATATACAAAAATTTTTGCATCAGTATATTACCTTTTTTTTAACCAGCACTAATTAAAAATTCAGTGATATATGAGTTTCATGTTTAACTGCTAGCACAGAAGAGGAAATGTTACCTACAGATTCTATATGGAGAGGAGAATAATTCCTTGTGGTAGAAGTAATTAGTAAAAGATCAGGATGACACTATATCATTAGGAGCCCAGCACATTATTGATTGAAAGGTAGCAGTACTTTTTATTCAGGAGACTTTTCAGTCTCCTTTAGAGCCACAGTAGTTTATTGCTAATGTCATACTAGATTAAAATGCTTCTTTCCTTGCTGCTTTAGCTGGCATCTTTTAAATACCACAGAGCTCAAGCTTTCTTTCTTGTTAAACAGAAATAACCTCTCTGATGGAACATGCAACTCAGAGGAATGGCATCAGCACTTACTCTTTGGATCATAAAGTTCACCCATCCTCATGTGTTGGGTTTTGCATTCTTGCTTCACTTTCTGATCTGATGCATCTCTTACCTGCTTAGATATCTTTACTTTTGTTTTTAATTTATGTATCTATACTGCTAAATGAAAACTGAAGTAGAGAATTTGCTCATGTATTTAAATTCAGTGGCACAGGCAGTCTGCATCCACACTACACAGCACTTTGTCCTCCGCTGCTTTTACCAGCTGGTACCCCTGTGGTTTAGTTTTCTTGGCAGGGGCTGGGGAGGAATGCCTTTTTTTCCCCCTCCCTGCTTTAGAGTGTGTGAAATTATAACATGGTGCTTTTGAGGATGCTGTTTTAACGTGGCACCGAAGTTTTGCATTGTATGCTCTGGGGTAAAGTGTACAGGAGTTAACTGAGAGTGCAAAGCCTGCCAGGGCAAATTTGGAGGAAGACAGCAAAATCTGTGCAGCCTTGTCTATGCTGTCCGTTGGAACATTTCCTGGAATCTGTTGTTCACGGATTAATGGATGGGATTGGCTCAAAAAGCGCAGGCTGGCATGGGCCAAAACCATGCTATGGAGTACTCTATCAGCAGAGTACTGTGTCCAGTGCTTTGTCTTGTTCCCATATACTATTTATAGTATATAAGTAGCTATGGACTAAGATAGTTGGAATGTCCTCTTTTTATATACTGTACCTCATGTTTACCTTCATCTGAGCCAGTGTAAATTAGGTGCTGTAATATTTTTATAGGTCCAGCATACTCAAATGTGGGGGGGCGGGGGGAATTACTAGTTTCAGATATCCTTTTATCAGCTGTCATCTTTCTTTTTAATTTCCAGTAATTAACTCATCTCTGGTAACAAATGTGTGAGATTCACCTGCGTGAGAGTTGATCACTTTTATCTACAAACCATATTGTTTAGCTTATTTATAGAAAAAAATATAAACTTTTTGCTTCCCCTGGACATCACAGAATCACAGAATGATTGAAGCTGGGAGGCATCTCTGGACATCATGCAGCTCAACCACACTGCCTAAGCAAGCACAGCTAGAGCAAGTTGCTTTGGCCTGTGTCCAGTCAGGTATTGAGTATCTTCAAGGATGGAGACTCCACAATCTCTCTGGGCAACATCTGCCAGTGATTGACCATTTCACAATAAAAAAAAGCTTTTTCTTATGTTTAAATGGTGTTTCTTGTATTTCAGTTTTTGCCCATTGCCTCTTGTCCTGCCATTGCTAACTTCTGAGAAAAGCCTGGCTCCGTCTTTGT